TAATATCTGATAGTTTCCCAGGCTACAATGCAATTGTCCTGAGTGTTTTAGTCTTGATCGTGCCACTCATTATAAAATAGGAGTTAGGTGTGATCTTGAAATATATGGATGATCACTAAATGATTAAAAAAAGACATATCATCATCTAGAGCTGACCAAGCACCCCTATAATTTGCCTAAACCAATTGGTCCACTCCATGGGACTGAATCAACTTCTCTAACATAACAAAACTCCAAGACACCAAGTCTGGTCTTCCGTATTCAAGGCCAAATTATCTATCCAAATCCAAATTCAATTGCAAAATATTTGAGTCTTCCATATTCAAGGCCAAATTATCTATCCAAATCCAAATTCAATTGCAAAATATTTCAGTCTTCCATATTCAATGCCAAATTATCTATTCAAATCCAAATTCAATTGCAAAATATTTGATAAACTCAAATTAGGTGACAATAATCTGAATTCAATTGCAAGACATTTGATGAACTCAAATTAGGTAACAATAATCTGAAATATAACCATAAATTAAGATAACAAGGTTGCAGATTTCTAAAGAAACTATCACGTTAAAAACCAACTTATGAAATTAATGTGGACTAATTAGCACTTGAAAACATCCTGTTCAACAACCAATCTCAGATTAAACCAAAGTCATATCACAAAGTAAAGCAAAACATAAATTTATCTTAAACATTGTCATCACAACAATAAAACTAACAATACAAGAAGTCTCCTTTACACATTTTATTGAGTCTCCTTTCCAAGTCCATTGTTGACACTCCCTTCATTTTTTTGTTAAATATTAAAATAAGGAAAAATAAATAAATAGTGATACTTATACCGAACACTTGTATTGAATTACCTAATAGAATAATTTTTAATTGGCTATTTATACCAAATACAACTAAGAGGAGGACCTCATTTTCTTATTTGCTGCACAATTGACCAATTAAAAGAGTAGGTCTACAAATTCATTGCAACAATTCCGTGCAAGAATCATTTTCCAAAAGAAATACTTAAGTTTAACAAGCACACTTAAGGAAGGCTAAAAACGGGAATTATATATTTGTTAATTTATTATGTGTTTTGGTGGAGTGTTTGTAACCGTCAGTTGCACCACGTCATCCTTACAACGATTGCGATGAATAATTTTTCCTCTTCTCTTCTCCCAATTTTGGGCGAATAGAAAAATACACAGTAAGAATGGATGAAGTATTCCTTCTTGTTTCTTCTCTCTCTTTTTTTTTCCTCCAACCAAACATGAGAAAGTTCACTTATTTCCACTCTCATTGATTCCCCCTAATCCTTCCCTTCAACCAAACATACCATTAGATTATGGGATTCAATAGACACTGTCGTATTCTGGGCCTTTGCTCCATGATTTCCTGGTGGGCCCATGTCTCGGTGGTTAGATTGGGCTTCGCTTCTATAGTGGTATCACCTCTCTGTCATCATGGTGGAAGGTGATGATTAAAGAACCAAATAAGTATATGAGTTTCTTATCGTAGAAAAAAAAATAATAATAATTGTGATTTTGTAAATTATGCTTAATTGCATATGGTGTAATATTTAGAAAAGAATGAATTCGAATTGTAGTATACGAATCATACCCTCACTTGAGCGCAGTTGCAATCACGGCAAGGAAAGACAACTAGACAAAAGAGCAGAGGCCGTTGTGTGCTGTCACAAATTGGCAAAATTAATTGTTTCCACGTATGATCAATGTGTTTTAGGTCATGCATTTTTATGGCACGTTGCAGTTTTGTATTTATGATCATAGTTATATATGCATCTTTATGATTAAAATTTATTAAAATTTGTAACTCTAGAGTCTTCCATATGCTCTGGCTGGACAGAGACCACATCCAATATCAACTCAGTTATAACATTAACACACAAGTGTTAAACAACTTTATTAAAAGTAACATGTGTTTCAAATAATTAATTTATAAATAAAATATCAATTATTAACTTAGTTCGTTTCCAATTTGGATTCCTATTATACTCTTCTTTTTCTTTTCTTTTTTTAAGACAACACATAAATAAAATAATAAATAATTTAAATTTTAACTAAAATAAAATTCAAAGTGTTTGTATTAAAATTCTTCTACTAATTTTAATTTCCACTAAAATAACTAATTTTAATTTCAACTAAAATAAAATATCAATTGAATTTCTAATTTAAAATTCTTCCACTAATTTAACTAAAAAGAATTTTCAATTTTTTTTTTTTTTTTTTTTTACTAATTTAACTAAAATAAAATATCAATTGAGTTTCTAATTTAAAATTCTTACAATAATTCATTTTTTTTTTTTTTTTTACTAATTTAACTAAAATAAAATATCAATTGAGTTTCTAATTTAAAATTCTTACAATAATTCAATTGGCTTTCTAATTTAAAATTCGTCAATATATTAAAAAAAGTTCTATTAATTTTAATTAAAATAAATTTTCCTTTTAATTAAAATAAAATACCAATTGAGTTTCTAATTTAAAATTCTTCTACTAATTTTAATTAAAATTCTTCTATAACTAAAAGGGTTTCTTATTTAAAAATATTCTAATAATTTAACTAAAATAAAATACCAATTGGATTTCCAATTTAAGATTCTTCTACTAATTGAATTAGATTTCTAATTTAAAATTCTTTTTTTTTAATACTAATTTTAGTTAAAATAAAATATCAATGTATAAGTGTGTATTTTCATAAAATCATATTTGATAAATTTTAAATTGTTATGTAATTATATTAAAAATTATTATCTTATAAATGTTTAATAAATTAAATGTAAGTAGGTGGTGGTTGTATATTAAATTATTAAACTTTAAAATTTTTAAAAGTTAATTTATAAATAGATTATAAATTATATTTTACTGAAGTGCACTTTTATTAGTTTCTATTAAACAATTAGGTTGGATTGGTTGGGCGAGTTACTAACACCATAGTGTTTTATGAGAAATACATACATTTTTATTTTATTATTTATTTATTATTATTAATTTTCTTTTTCAAGGTATGAAGTGTTAAAAATTAAATTAGTAGATGTAGAGAGTCAAAACCTGAATAAAACTGCTGTGAGAAACATGGATGGGTGCATGATAACTGCTATTTTTCCTTTTTTGTTTCATAAAAATAATTTCAAAGTTTAATACAATTCCTTTTTTGCAATCAATTAATCATATCCATATGGCATGGTTGGCCGGTCTATGAGGACTCTATGCACGACTAATCAACATTTATTTTTTTATGGACTAAGGGCTCGTTTGATATGGTTTTTGTTTCTGTTTTTACAAAAAGAGAAGCAAAAGGTATCACTTCTATTTAATTTATTTGTTAGTGTTTAAAAATTATATTTTAGAGTAGCTTTTAATGGTAGAAGAGTTTTTCAATCTGTTTCGCAAAATATTTACAGAAGCTTGTCTATTACTGAAATAATTGTTTTACCCTTAGATGGAGTATTTTTTTAAATTATTGTTGAACTTGTTTTTTTGTAACTCTTTCCGTAAAGACATACAAATAAACCACTCACTTTAATCAAATTTATCCACAACATGCCATGTGCAACATAATAATTAATAATACTAATAATAACAATAAGAATAACAATTAAGAGATTGCAAAAAACTATTTAATGATTTAGAAAATTTTGTAATTAAACATTTTGATTCTACCAAAATATAATAATAAGAATAATAAAATATTGAAGATTTCTAATTTTTCTTCCAAAAAGAAAATAATTAAACTCATGCTTTATGACTTCCCTAGAATAATATTATTGTTTCCTTATAATTACAAACTTAATTATATTATAAGGAAATTAATGAAAAAGAAGAAAGAAAAATATTGCCACGGACAACGTCAGGGAAGATCTATGACGGTGAATTAATCTAATAAAAAAAGAAATGCTATGCCAATGAATTGATCTGATTAAAAAAAAAAAAAAAAAAAAAAAAAAAACAACTTTAGTTTTGGGTAAATAACTGGAATCCATTGTTACAACAAAAGGGAATTCAATTTGAAGGTGAAAAAAAATTATAGATTTGTAACGGTAGAATGGACCGTTGAAATATGGTGATTACTCCTATGGAAGCCAATGATCGTTCGTTGAGGAGTTTCAAAATTATTTAGAGAAAATCGGGTAAAAAAAAAAAAGAAATAGGCAAGAGAAGAAATACCAAGGTTTAATGATAGATTGAAAGATTGAAGGAGTAAAGTCATCGATTATCTCTCGCAATAATCTTGTTCAAATTTTTTCTCTGGTTGAATGCTTGATGAATGGTTCTTGTGAGTATAACGGGATATGATGAATCGTTCTTATGAGTATAAAGGAATATCTTGCCAGAAAACACCAATGTGAGTTTTTTTGACACTAGGGTTTGGAAATAGAATTAAGAGGCTTTTTATAGAAATACTGTTAAAATTATAATTTGTTATGAGATAATATAAAAGATACGATGTCATTTAAAAAGTTTCATTAATATTCTCAAAACTCTTCCCGTCTATTTTAAAATCCCCAGCTTCTCCAAAACGAAAGCTCTTTAACAAAATTAGCTAAACACTACTCAAAACCACATCCAAACTCAAAAAGCTAAAATCTGCATTTGAAAAGCCAGTCAGGGCAAACAACTCCAAGAAACAGCTTTTAGGTCCAAAAATCCAAAAAGGCTGAAAAGCAGCTCCAAGCACTGCTCAAAAGTGAAAAAAAAAGCTTTCATGTCTGCTCTCTTACGTATTCAAGGCCAAATTACTTTATCCAATTTGAATTCAATTGCAAGACATTTGATGAACACTAATTAGATGACAATAATCTGAATCATAACCCTAAATTGGGATAAGAAGGCTGAATAAAAATTATAGGGTTAAAAACCAACTTATTAACTAGGAAAAAAAAAAAAAACAACTTATGAAATTCATAATTAGAACAAATTAGCACTTGAAAACATCCTATTCAACAACCAATCACACATTAAACCAGAGAGTCATCAGATCATATCACAGAGTCCACCAAAACATTAACTTATCTTGATCATTATTATCACAACAATAAAACTTACTAAAATTTCAGCAGTTAAGCTTTAAAAAAAAAAAAGCCAATTCAACAGATTTCAACTATACCACTAAATAACCCATATCAACACATTCTCAAACCCTAATTTGACCCACAACAGAGCGAACAGTCAAAATTAGGGCAGAGTTAGATTGGCAATACCGATGATGAAAACAATCACTCGGATTCATCAGACACCGTCAATTTCTGGGCCTCGAGGCGCTCTAGGGCTTTCTGGTGGGCCCAAGTCTCGATGGTGAGATCGGGCTTGGCGCTGAGGCCAACCCCGAGGATGACGATGGTGAGGAAGCTGGTGATGTAGCAGGGAAGTTCCCAGTCCTCCCACTTCCTGGTCTGGCCCGGAGGTGGAGGAATCCGGTTGAAGAGGTAGCCGTTGGGCCGCTCCTGGTGGCCCGGGCTGGTCCAAGGGCTCGGTCCATCTCCTCCGCCGCTCCGTGTGCGGAGGGTTGGTCTCAGGCGACTCCGGAGCATCCCTGCGGCGGTGGCGAAGGGCTTTGCTGACGCCATGGTAGAGAAAGAGCACCTTTGCTCTGGATTGTGAGATCTGAATCTCTCTGGTTTTGCCAAAGTGGTAAGGGTGTTGTGAAGTGTGGGAAGTTTTGGGAACTGCCGAGACGGTGTCGTTTGTTTTCCTAATACAGACTACAGGAGAAAAATAACAATGTCCTCTATATGCCAAACATAGTAATATCATTTATATAATTTGTAGATTACATAACGCGTAATATGGCTAATTGGTAAATATTAGTATTCAAATAACATTATGCAATTCTTATTTTCTGATGCTGTTACAATTCCTATTTACAAATTTTTTTAATTTATAAAAACTCAAATAAATCAATTAATACATCTTTTAATTCATCCATTAAAATACAAAGTTAATGGAACTCTCATTAAAGCTACTGCTTAAAATTAGTTCAGCCCAACCCAAAAATGGATGGAATCTGCATTCCACTATCATAATGTGTAGTGCCAAATTCCACCCAATTGCTTTATGTTTTTTCTTAGGATTTAGAACCTGGTAAGATTCAACTTAACCTAACTTGAGATTTAATTCAATTATATTTTTTATTGCTTGAGTTGAATTTGGTTTCAGCTTTCTCAAACTCGGCTCCAGTTGAATAACATATGCTAATTTTATTGTTGTTAAAATACAAAAAAATATAAATAATTTAAGATTAATTCAACTATTTTATGTGAATAAAAAATTACATCATCATTTCTCACTCCTATATATCATCATTCCCATCATTCCCACACGAGTAAATGAATGTGACCAATTTCAATACCACAACTCTTAAAATATTAATGAAAGAATTTGGATCTTCATAAATTCATTATACATATATACACCTTTAAACATATCCACGCCTCTAAAGTCTAAACCCTGGTTGGCTGTGAGAGAGGAATATTGAGAATTGGTCCTCAATCTATTCAGTATTCAGCATGATCACAAACTGTAGTAGCATTGTGCTGCCTCTTCTTACTTGAAAAATGTGGGAATAGAGAGACTGCATGCAGTTATACTTCTATGTATTCATAGTTATACATGTACTCTCTTCATATCTATACATGTAAACCAACCATAAAGCACTTACGTCTATTCTGATAAATCAAAGTTCAAGACCTAATCCGACAAACTCAATCAATCTATTTCAAATTTGATCCAATTTATTTCCATCAAAAGAATAAAATTTCAGGGTTGGAGTATCCACCCCCCGACTTACCCTTTATTATTTGTACATACCTGAGTGGAAGTTGAGCAAAGAAATGTTATTTACAGTAGATGGCCTGAAGTCCAGAGGATTATTCCACCGGCCTGACCGATCCTCAGACCATCTCATATCTACATTTTCAACCTCCAAATTTTCAATATGTTCCATGATGATCCCAGCTATACCATGTTTAACAAGTCCTCTGCATCCTGGTCTATAATCTACCAGCCCATCTGGATAATTTGTCCATCTCCTGTAAGTTAGGCTGACATTGATGAATTTCAAATTTCTTAAGAGGCCTTCTTTTGATCCTGATAAGAAGATGCCATTTTCAGAAGTTGCCGTTATGTTGATAAAGAGTAGATTAGATATTGAACCCGCTTTTGAATTCTTATCCCTTGGGCAGGTTGTCACGTAAATAGGTTCTGCTCTACCCCACCATGATGGATCATAATATCTTGTGCTGATATTTATGTTGGAGAAGGTAATATCACTTACATTTCCTGCACAAAAACAAATATTTAATAATACTCGAATCATCAATATTAATGTTCAAAATATTTAGTAATACTCGAATCATCAATATTAATGCTCAAAATAAGCTACATGAGATTATGAAAATCATAGGACATAAGAATATATGTATTGAGAAGTATAAAACAACAGACATATACCAACTGACTTAGGCTTTCATAAAGCCCAAGCATACTTGAGGCTTCAATTGAAAGGCTGAATGCCTTTTAATTTTATTTTTAACACTAGGGTGCTTATTAGCTAAGCTCAGGAAATTAACAAGGTTACAAATATGTTGAAGCTTGGTTCATTTGTCTCACTACTTGATTTTAAGCAAAACTTTAGCGGAGGTGATCCCAATGCAAACTCGAGCAGCTTAGATTCATTCAATTAAAGATCAAGCCAATAGCTTATCTCACTCACGCGTTTAAAAGGAAAAAAATACCAATTTCATAAAAGTTAAGACTAAGGATCTAAATATATAAATATGAATCCAAAACAGCAATAAAAATGGCCATCAATAAGCCCACCAACATGAAGAGTACTTTTTACCTTATATCCCAACTGAAATAGTGGTGGGAATTAACCGTTACCAAACCTGTGTAATCTGTCTTTAGATATTCTTTTGTTATTCAACAAAATGTCATGTACATTCATAAGTGCAAACCAAGCACCTCACTAGACAATCAATAGCAAAACTTCCAAGATGAGAAATCTCTAAAATGAATTGGCATGTTTAACCAGCTTATATTTTGCAGTAGAGAACTTTGAACTTGGCGTAATGGAGAAGGCCAGAACTTTAGACTTGAAAAAGGAAAACCTTTAACTATTTTCTTCTCAATGAATTACTACTACTCAAGTGATTCACACACCAGAATAATGGGAGTTCTGTAGTATTGTCCTGAATCTAGTTTAATGTACTAAAAGCAGTTTAAGCAGAAAATTTAGAAAAAGTTGTCAAAGACGTGGGAATTAAAGAGCTGTTACCTCCATCACGTATCTGAAATCCAAGCCCTCTATGAGAATCTACAATAGTAATGTTGTCAAACACCAGACCTTTAAAATCAAACCAACTAGCACTGCCAAGCTTGATCGCTGAAGATTTTGTTCGGATCCAAGAGTTCGTTGCTGTTAGGTTATAGAGGGGCCCATCGTATGTCTTTGGACAGATGGCGTCATCCCCTGTATTGATGTTGCATCTTGTGATGACAGTATTATTTGAATCATCTATATCTATTCCATCATTGTTGGGTGTATTGAAATCTCCATAGATTGAAACATCATGAATGAATGTATTATCACACAGTACTATGTGCAAGCTGCAATAACACAATCTTTTTTTTTTCAGATAACATCACGAATGGATGGAAAACAGCAATGAAAAGCAACTTGTAAATCAGTCCAGTTCAATCACACAATCTGTTTGACCGATATAGCAGGAAGGAATTCTAGACAAAGCATAAGTGTAAGCTAGTTAATTATTTCTACTTAAATTGTTACCGACTCGGAGTTTTTTTTAGCTACCCCATAGGTTACCCAGGAATTGATCAGAATTCATTCAGAAATGATAATTTTCCAACTTCAGCATTTAACCACATGATCCATTTTGTTCGTCTATGGAAATCTTTCGCATTTTACCCTAATGGAAGAAAAAAATCATTTAAATTTCCAGTCTCTAGTTACTTCTCTTCTTTCCTAAAAATCTGAACTATCAACTTCCCATTTACATATATTCTTGATGCTATGCATAACAATCCTTTGAATTGGTTCATCTCTTCACATTTATAGGTCAAAATATTTTCTAATTCGAATTTATTTAAATTACTTTTGGATGGGACATTGAATCAGCTTTGTCTTAAAGCATTTATTGTTTCTTATATACATATCCACATATAAGTACAATTATACACACACACACAAGGACTACGGTTATGCAGACCTATTGTTAAGAGACAGAATATGCTCTCTCATTAGTCTCACATGTCAATGGATGTTATGTTTTTTTGGTTATATTCAGCTAAGAAGGCAATTAATGGGCAAATGAGGATAATTCTCCCTACCCATAACCCGATTCAACCCAACTTATGTAGAATTTGATTTCTGAGCTTATTAAGAACTGTTCTCGAGTCAAATTAACAATCACTAGAGTTGCACAATGAACTTAGCTTTTAATGAACAATTAACCTCAGCTCGTTTAGGTTTACTAAGTAAGCAAGTTGAAATCGAGCTCATTTTTGTTGGTTGTTCTTGAGCTAATAGGATAGATTTATTGTCAATGATGGTTGGCGTTGTTAGCAAACTTTCCAGGATTCAGGGGCTTTAATTTTGTCCCAGGGATAATGTTCAAATTTTGTATAGTTCAAAGGTTTTTGTGCAATAAACACTTTTGATTATGTAAAAATAATCAATATTGTGATTTTCATATCAAAATTTATTTAAATTAGATAACACAGTGAGAGTTAAATTTTGGTCTTTTTTTTTTTATATCATTTTAACATGGGCAATAACACGACTCTTAATTTCATGGCGACTCAAAAGAAAATCATGACATAGTGGTGCGCAAGGTAGCAAAGAGAGAGGGAGGAGTGAAATACGCACCACCAGTAGGCCGGCTCAATCAGCTTGACGTCCCAAACCCTGACGTTCTTACACCGAAGAAACCCAACCAGTCTCGGCCGGCACTCGTCTCCCAAACAAGCTCCAGTCCGATTCCAACTCACCATCACATTCTTCCTCTCATCGAACCTCTCCACGAACTTCAATCCCTGGCCGTTGATTTCTCCTCCGCCGGTGATTCCCACGTCCACCGCGTCCTCGGCCAACACCACGTACCACCGGCTCGCCTCCGCCGGGTAGTCCTCCAGCCTTGTACCCCCTAAGATCTTGGCTCCCTTTTGGATCTCCAACACGACGCCAGATCTGAGGAAGACAGTGGCGGTGAGGTAGGTGCCCGGAGGGAAGACGACGCGGCATCCTCCGCTGCCGGCAGAGCAGGCGTTTATGGCGGCCTGGATGTGGCGGGTGTCGTAGTGGATACCGTCGCCGACGGCACCACAGTCGGTAACGGAGATAGTGGTGGTAGTTGATTGGGGGAGCTGAATGGTTGGTGAGGTCAGTAGTAACGTGGAAGGTTCTGATTGGAGGAGAAGAGAGAGAAGAACGAAAAGTGAAGTTAATAATTGGATAGAAGAGAGCGGAGTTGTTGCCATCTCTGACGAAAAATCAGAGTGGTTTATCGTCGGTTGGTGGCACTTTTGGGATGCTGCTTTTTCAGCGTACTTTTGTATACTCGATTATTTATTTTATTGTTAGTAGAGTTTTGGATAATCATCATACATGATCTACTATTTCAATTTCAGAGTTATTTAATTTTATACAAAAGAAATCAATAACGTTTTAGTTAAGAAAATAAAATTACTACAACCTTATTTGGTCACATTTGATAAGTATTACATTGAGTGATTTGGGAAGCCTCCTAGACTCAAACTCACGCACAACTAACTATATTTCAGTAGAATCGAATACTTAGACCTCTCATTTTGTAAAGGTATAAATCCTTGAAATTCTTTGACTAGATTTAAGTTAAGAGTACCCCCATCTCTTTTTCATTTTTGGACCTTCGGCATGCCAAAATATTTTAAGTTGAAATATTTTTCCGAAAAAGCAAAGCATTATTGTTAAGAAATTGATGAGATGTTGCATTGAAATCCCACCATTTGTTAATATGCAAGAAGGCCCATAATATCTCACCTTATAATGAGAGTGCTCTCATTATGAGCTCCCTTCTAGCAGCAACTCAATTAAATTTGTTAAATGAGACAACTCAAAATAATTTTCTCAAAACAACAACTTAGTTCTACTAGTTACTACTCTTTCAATGCTCAGCGCATCTTATCTGCCCTCAACAACCATTCCAAAACATTTTGACCCAAATAACCAAAATTTAAGCAACTTAACAAGGGAAGAAAAGTTCTCACTCCATGAAGCATAAAGGAAAAAGAGAAATTAAAGTAGCATATGTACATATACAGAGGGACACAATATCAGAACATTATCTTGTTCTAAGCCCCACCCATTTCTGAATGGAGAGATGCCTATTGCCAACAAGAATACATGCATACAACCAAAAAGCTGGCATCCATAATATTATAATTAAAAGCATAGTTTGTTCTATGTTTTTACAGTATGAATCAATCAACCATTTTCATACATTTAGTATAAACAGATTGAATGACCCTCTAAGTTAGTAGTACTATATATATATATATAGCTGATGAGATAAATTTGGATTTCCGACTGACTTTTAAATAGACGACGTGGAAACCCGAGTTGAATGTCGTGTCATGACCTCCTCCCTACTACTTCCAAACTAACTGCTAATACTATATCCAATATACACTTCTTGCTACAAATCAAACTTCATACTGCCTTCATAATTCCATTTTCAGCTGATTTGAACGCAGCGATGCTGTGTTAACATAATAATTTAAAATTAGTCTCAATGGTCCCAAAGAGCTTCTCCTTACAAGATATTAAGAATAAGAATAAGAATAACAACAAAAAGTCATGTAAAATGCATGAGCACAGTTGGTTCTTACCAAAATCCAGTTCTACAGGCGTTCCAGACATTAAAAAATTAGATTTTATACAATATTTTTATTTTCTTTTTAATTTTTTTGTTTGCATTTGTTGTAGCATAAATCTACACAATGAGCCACAGGCAAGTTAGCCGGTGGTAACTGGTAACTAATCCCCACTCACATAGGGGATTGTAGAGTTCTAGCCCCAGGTTAGGCTTGGGTTTGAAAAGAACAGGAAAGCAGCCCACAAGTTGAGTTTGGGAAAATAAAAAATAAAAAATTTCCCAAAACAATCTAAAATATAAGTTTGTTAGTATAAAATCTGTAAAAATAAAATATGAGGATTCATTTCAATGCACTTCTGTAAGTTCCCTTAAATTAGCAACCACATGCACTGGTTGAAAATTTGGAGCGGACTTCCTCGGTCTAAAGTATAAGACCTTACTGACAAATGGCTAAACCAAACAGCTCTGCTGTTCATTTTTAGAAAGCAAGATGACCATTGACCTTAGTATTACTGAAATTTAAGCTACCTGAATTTGCTGAAGAATCGTAAGTCAAAAGTGAGTCCTCTGGAGTAATGAAGTTAGGGTTGTCTTCTTCCCTCCCACAAACTGGATGATGAAGTCCGTCAAAATGACATAGCTGTTGATACTGTTGTCTGTTTCTGTTGACTTGTCCGTCTGGCCACATCAGTGGCATAACCACACCAGGGAAGTTACTGTCCATTAAAGATCCATTCTGCAAGTTTTAGAAGGACAAATAAAATGGTAAATGATTGATGATGAAAAATAATGTAGCATCATGACTAATTAACAAAGAGACAGGTCTATTACAACTTAGTTGTAAACCAAACGTAAATTATGCTATCCCTCCATTTCTTTTCTTTCTTCACCTTCCAATTCCATCAATCCAAAAGACACCTAAAAATTTGACACTATTATGGAACTGCATTCACTATACCTTGAATAATCAGATTCTGAAGCAACATGAATTAACTTTGAAGAAGTTTCCTTACCCATTAAAAAAAAAAATTGAACTTTCAAGGAGTTCTTCTGTATCCATAAGGTTGTGGTACCCTCTTTTTTTCTTTTCTTCTTTTTTCCTGGCTCCCTCCCCCTCCCTTTCAAAGTACTACTGTTGCCCTCTTGACTTCAAAAAAAAAACCAATCTCATGCCACACCAAGGTAGTTGAGCATTTTACTACACAGAATATATAGAAACAAGCCGAGTGATAGCACTTTTACCCCTGAATGTCTAAACGCTGCTTGCAAGCCATGAAGTGATTATAAACTGCAAGAATTGCTTGAAAGGTTCTTCTCTCCCACACTCCACTTTTGTTTTGTATTGATTAAGCATAAACTTTGTTCTAATAGGACTTGAACCCTCAACCTTGTCTCTAGAATGTGAGGGAGTACTCACTCAAGCTAATGATTGGAGGTATATTGCCCGTAAGTTGGTTTTAGAGGATATCTGCACATCCTTTCATGTGCATTGGCATTAATGTGGGACCTAGCAATTCAACGGTTCCACAAAAGTAACTCCTAAAGCAATTAAAATTAGATACCGTGGTTGTTACACTTCTGGTCTATCACATTACGAACTGTTAAAGATGTAAATGTAACAGGTGGTATATAGCAAATGTGGTGCAAGTCTGACACCCCTGCTTTTCCCATTGGTTGTAGAAACTCTACTTTGACATCCGTAGAGGCCTTGTGAAAAGATCTGTAAAATAACTCCAAAGAAATTCTATTCTACATTTCACTTGCCTAAAAAAGTATACAAACATTGCTGATCTATGCTGGGTGTTAAAATATAAGTGACAAAGGTATTCTCAAGAGTTATAAAGCAAAAAACTGCTTCGGGAACCTTATTTTAGCACCACCTCACAATGAATATAAACTAAGAAATAGGAGTAGTATAATACTTACTTCAGCAGCCAACAGACTGTCTAGGTCGAAATCAATTCTGGAGTTAAAAGCAGCAAGTCTCATTGATAAGAACTGGATACAAAAAGGACGCGATCAGAAAAAAATCGAGTAATAGAAAATCATACGATTTGAACACCCTTGAAGATTGCTACGTGTTTGCGCAACTTCACTCCATTTTTCCGAGTGGTCATATAATTCATTTTGTGAATTTGGTTGAGAAAAATATAAATCTTTTCATCTTATTTTGGCAGCAAATTATAAAATAGTAATTCAAATAGCAATAGTGAAATGCCAAGGAAATAAAAAATAGCAATAGTGAAAAGCCCAGTAACATCTGAATTTTAAAGCCCCAGAAAATCTATATTTCACATATGAGAAAGAGGAAGACAAAAATATTTATGTATATTTATGCAACCCGCCTACAACATCTAACCTACAATGGATTAAGAAACAGGTTATATACCATACTTCTAATTTTCTTCGTAATTGAGTAAGGAGATTAAGAAACAGGTTATGTAACATACTTCTAATTTTCGTCGTAACCGAGAGTTAGAACCCCCATCCCCTAGAAGAAATGAAGTCTCAACTTTTTGAAAATGAGTAAAACAAGACAATTTTTCACAGGGCAACACATTATGGATTCAAAATGCAGCAATACATCTTGCAAACCATTTTCAATCAACAAGATTTTTCCAAACAAGAGTTCCTTCTAACAATAAGCATCCACTTGCAATGTTAAAAAAAAAAAAAAAAAAAAAAAAAAAAAAAAAAAAAAAAAAAAAAAACAACAACTTAGATCAACATTTTTGTATCAAATGCAAGGGATGTTCAGGTCTGACCTCCACTTGACGTTGTAGAGACTGTACATGGTTGATGATCTCATCCAGCACCATTGCCGTACCTGAAATCTGTAGGAAAAATCTCTGTACATTATTTATTTACGAAAATGGATTTTTAACCGTGAGATTTCTACGTAAATCATCAAGTGATTGAAAGTGCCATGCAATGAACACTTCACTACAAATGCGATTTTGAACTTCCCCTGACCTAAATAGTTAAAAACAGAGTAGACCAGGGAAGCATTCTGTCATGATGCCATGTCTTGGAAAGAACCTCCATCCGTTTAGTCATATAGATATTCTATACCATAAAAAGTCATTTGCAGCTAGATAGGTATTCTATACATCCCTAATAATAACAAAATTATAAAATCAATTTTAAAGCAGGGGATACCAATTGCCAACATTTCAATAGGATCGTATAGATATTCTTGTGTGATCATCAGTGGTATATGCCTAACTTAGATGAATTGAAGCATGCGTTTCTCCAAGTTAAACGCTTGGAAGCACAGGTTGAAATCAAGATATCCATCATAGGTGGGACCCATAGCCATCAGATTTAATTTGCACCTTACATGTCTTTCTCAAATGCTTCAATGCGAGCACGCAAGCAGGAAACAATCCCCAACAACTGAATTTTCAAGGTGTCCCATGATTGAAAAGATCAAATAGGTAGTTCAGTCGGATAAAGTAAAATTTCAACACTTTTTTGGTCATTTATGTCATAAATATTTCACACTAGTACCACAAATATCATGTAACCAATTTTTTTTTTTTTTTTCCTTCTTTCCTTTTTTGGGCTAAAATCACTAATCAGCTCTTCAGCAGAGGGAAATTACAAAAAAGACTGACTAATCATGCACAAAAAATTCATAAATTTATTTACCAAAAACCATTAAAACTGACAAGTCTGAATTGACAATAATGACCATAAAAGCGACCACTAACAGATATTCCAACCAGGGAAAAGTTGAGAAGGTTAAAATTACGAGACTGCCACTCAAAGTGTTCAACATCCTGACACTTTTCTTCGTGCAAAAGCAAGTAGGACTTTTTGTTAAAAAGGTAACAATGACGCAACCATTATTAAAACAAACCTGGATGATATAATTGCACTTTAGAGGATCTCTAAGCAGATTTTAATAACATAATCCAAATTTAATTAAATTTAGAAAGAGGACCGAACCTTGTTGCATCCAGGGACCAGTTCCTGGAGAAGCTTCATACGAGCATTAATTTTCTCTCTCCTTGCCTGCAATAAAATACTACTAATTAAGTAATTGGAGTAATAGCGTAATTACAGATTAATTATTGTGCGAGATTTACTCTTTCAGCTAAGCTATGGCTATCTGTGGCTTGGCCGCGACGAGCTCGAACATGAACGTATGGAAGCTTTTCACCGTCTCCGAAGCTCTCATTTGCAACGCTTTTGCTCTTTTTAGCCGACACTTTGACCTAATTTCACAAGAAATGTCGAATTAGTTTTAATACGACCCGATTCATTATGAAATGGAAAAGCTAGAAACCCTAGTAAAGAACAACACCTTCTTCTCTCGCTCCTTTCTCTTTGTTGATTTTTTATTTTTGTTCGAAACTGTTGGGTCAGACGCCATCGGTGATGAATCAGGATTTGAATCCGAATCAAACGGTTCTGGTTTCACTTTATGCGAATTCCCGCTCGAATTGGACGGAATTGAGCTCGTCTCCGGTGAGTTCACCGTGGCAGCAAAGACGGAGAACTTAGAAGCACGATCAAGTAGAGCAGTGTTGGATGGAAACGTCGGAGTACAATTGAGTGACTGAATATGATAGGGATTGTGATGATTATTCCAAACCTCACCGGAAAGTTCCGCAGGAGTATCGTCAGATTGCGGCGAGTGTAGGAGCGACATCGCTTGATTCGCCGGAAGTTCGAGAAGTGCAGTGAAGGAGCTACCGGCTTCCGGCGGTGCGGACATTAATCTTTGAATTTCCTCACCGAACTGGAACGATTCGACTCCAATTTCTCCGGATCTAACTTCGGTACCTTCAAGTCCCTCCATCAAACGCTTCAATTCCAACCGAAATAAGAACCAAATTAACCAAACCAGACCTCGATTAAACAAGTCTAATTTAACTCCAACGCCGTTTTAACAGCGATTTTTGGAACTATTTAACTAAAACCCGTAAAAATACCTCTGCGGAGAAGCAGAATTGAAGCTCAGTTCTACTTCTACAAAGAAAATGACCGGTTAAAGAGACGAAGAATAAAGAGCCAAATGGTACTCTGTACTCTGTAGAAGCAGAGAAAGAGAGAAGTCTTCTGTACTCTGTAGAGGTTCTTCAATGGTGGTCAATCTCTTTTTCTCAACTCTCTAAAAATATTGGTTCTCGCTCGCTTCTCAGCCATTTGAAGTATTACGAAAGCAACGTTGCTTCGGTCCCCTGCTGTCTCTCTTTCTCTCTCATAGGTATCTTTTAGAGAGAGAAAAATGATTCGGAACCGTAGATTGGGGACCGGACACGAACCAATCCCGACACAGTTTTTAATTTTGGAGGATGATAGGTCATTTTCTTGCATTTATAAGGAAAAAATATATGTAATATGTATGTCTTTAAAAAAGTTCTTTTTGGTAGACATGTTATTATTAGTGACAGAGACTATGGAAATTTTGAGAATATAATCGGTAAAATAAATAAATTCGCAATGACATCTTTATATTCATTAACCAATTTATGAAACAAAATAAATAAATAAATAAAAAGAGAATAAGAAGCAACTTCTCCTACTTTCCAACAATTTTTTTTTTTTCCTATGCATAGTGTATTCTATATCAATTTTAGTAATTTTTATATTCTCTTTCTTCAGATTTGCCAAATTTTTATCCAAATGAAATAGTTGAAGTTGAACTAATTAAGATTAAATTTTTATGTATATTGTTTTTTCTACCTTAAAAATCTACATAGATTTTCTTTTTCTTTTGTATCAGCTTATATGCATATTTATTATTATTATTATTTTTTTGATAGAAACCACTTACTTGAACACCTGTCCTCCTCTCGGAGGATAGAGAGGTATACATAGAGTAGAGAGATTATACTACTTAGATCGAAGACTTTTTGATAATTAAGAAAAATTAATTAATATCTTCTCCTTCCAAGGATATCTTAATTTTAGTATAACTAGAATAACAAAGTATAAACATTAGTTAGTGTAGCGTTGAAAATAAATTTAGAAAATAACAAAATGGGGCAACTATAATTTATTAGTTAGTCTAGTGTTGAAAATGAACTACATTCTGCATTTGTTGTCACGATATTTTAATCACACCTATATAGGTTGCATTTTGGATAGCGCATGAAATATTGCAACTGCAACATTTGAAGGGAAAGTGACCGGATGACCCATGTCCAAAACATTGTACAATATTTGAGCTGTCATGTCAAGTTGCATGAAAACGTTATTGTTATATCCATTATTTCAAAAAGCTATTCAACAAAATATGGCAAACCTTACCCTTCTTATTAATGCAGAGTACGTAATATAACAGGGCACAAGCTTGGCGTGTGTAATACATCTATACGAAATATAGATGTTAGAGAAATTTCACATTATTTAATATTCATAATTATAGATAAATGAAATAGAAAACTTAAATACTAAAAGTTTTAAAATTAGCTTACCCGATACTTGTATTTTAGGGGTAGTTGTGGACAAAAAAAAAAAAGAAAAGAAAGAAAAAGAATTCGGTCCTAAATTCTAAGAAATGTTTTAAAAAAATTAAGGTATATATAAATACTTAACAATTCTACGCATGATTTTTTAATTTTGTACTTAGAAATTTAAAAGTATAATAGTTAACAATATAGTATAATGTTCTCAAAACTTGCTTTTCATAGCTAGTCAAGTGAGATGAGGTTTATTTTGACTACTCTAAAATCTTGACATTGTCTCTTCTCAATTAGAAGACAATAAGGACATGATCATTAAAACTTAAAAGGCTATAATCATGATAATAGCGACATCTATAACCGTGATTATAAGATTTGGATAGAGCAAATATATTATCAGTCCACCAACTATTTGTGACATGCTTTTCATTTTCATGCTTTGTTAGTCATAAGTTGAATTTTCATGCTCCGGTAAAGTACAACCACACCCCCTAAGTTTGACGAAATGATACTCAAAGAAAATTTATTTATTTTTTGGACAAAGACATCCTCTAAAGATTCAAAAATGGATAAAGACACTACTTTACATGAAAAATTAACCAAATTAACCTTTGACCGTTTAGGAGACTTTTTTAACTTTACAACTTAATAAATTGGATCAATCTACCCTTATGAATTATTTATGCATGAAAAAAAAGTAAAAAAAAAAACTTCATATTGTTCACTTTTTTATTTTTATTTTTTATTATTTACTTTATAAATGTCCCAACTTCTTAAAAATGTAGACGTCTAAAATGATTTTTTGATTCAATACATGTATTTTAAATAAATTATATTTTGCTATTACCTATTTTCTTTTTCTTTTCTTTTTTTCTTTTTAAATTAAAATGCTTAATTCTTTCATCTAAAAAAATTAAACCAATCTCTCTTCCTTAAAAATAAAAAATATGGTACTAGTATAACTTTATGCATCTTAAATTATTTATCAAATATTATGTATTTCCCAACATAAAAGAAAATAGGTATTAATATAACTTTATGCATCTTAACTTTATACATGGCTTTTTTTTTTTCCCATTGTTTTATTATTATTTTTTCCCTTTGTTTTATTATTATTATTTTTTTTCTTTTATGTTAGGAAATGCATAATATTTGATATATAACTTAAGATGTATAAAGTTATACTGGTACCATATTTTTATTTTTAAGGAAAAGAGATTGATTTAATTTTTTTAGATGAAAGAATTAAGCATCTTAATTTTTTTTTTTAAAAAGAAAAAGAAAATAAGTAATAACAAAATATAATTTATTTGAAATATATGTATTGGATCAAAAAATCATTTTAGACGCTACATTTTTAAGAAGTTGGGACAATTATAAAGTAAATAACAAAAAAATAAAAATAAAAAAAGTTAACAATATAAAGTTTTTATTTTTATTTTTATTTTTTATGCATAAATTGTTCATGAGGGTAGATTGGTCCAATTTATTAAATTGTATAGTTAAAAAAGTCTCATAAACGGTCAAAGGATAAGTTGGTCAATTTCTCATGTATAGGGGTGTCTTTGTCCATTTTTGAACCATCTGGAGGTGTCTTTGTCTAAAAAATAGATAGGTTTCCTCCAAATATCTTTTTGCCAAATCTAAAACGTGTCGTTCACCCTTTGTTTTTTTGTTAACCACTTGTCCTATTGTCTATCAAAAAATTTTATATTAATACTTGAAAAACTAATATTCACGATATCTTAAAATTGAAATTAGAGGGAATTAAGTTCAAAATTTTAGCTAACACATAGTAAGATTTAGTTCTGATTGACCCGTACCTAAAAATAGAAATCATGCAAGTCATTAGAGAAATTATTGTTTTTTTTTTTTTAACAAAGAGAAATTATTGTTTAACCACTAGAAAATATAGGATCAAGTTCAAATTAAGCATATCATATCCCAGGGTTGGTGCAATGCAGTGGATAGTGATGTTGAACTGTTGGGCCCCAAGATAGCGACCTATCGATACTGACCCACACTTTTGGACCCAACAAAACTGTTGATGATTCCCAATGGTGGGCCACATGGAAAACACGAAGACAACTTCAGTCCAGTCCAGGTCCCGAAAATGACCCAACATGCTTCCAACGGATCACGGACCAATACATCAAGTGGTTAGAAATGTCCAGCACGGCTGGACCCACCACAAAAGGGATGGTAGAGGTAGTGTGGGCACGAGCCTTGATGATGAACAGAAGGACCTAACTAAATCAATACCATCAAGTGGCTAGAATGGTCCAATCAATTTAGGCCCTAAAAAGAAATAGTAGGGCCCATTGGAGTTTGATGCTGTTTCAAAATGGTTCCACATTAACTATTAGTAAGTTTTGATTGTACAAAGAAAGGCAAGCCACTGTCAAGCAGCCCAATCATGTTGGGGCTAACCAGTTAGTTGTCGGGTACGGAGATCAAATGGGCCTACAAGAAAATAACATATGACATTTTCTACAATGGGAATTCACTGCAGTCCTCAAGATATTTATTTATGGGTTACTACCTCTATCCCATAACATCATCGTTAAGCCAAGCCAAATCCTTATTGGACTTAATTGGCTTATCTCATTAAACATTTTGGTATTATAGTATAATTTTTGTTTTCATTACTTATTTTCAAGATTTTAGGAAAAGAAATCCAACGATAATTTTGGAAGTTTGTTGTTTTTCATTTATGATTTTCAAAAATTATCCAATTTCTGTTTCTTAATTTAAAAAAATTGAAAAAGGAAATTTTCGTTTCATGCCATTTTCATCCTTTCATCCTTTAGCGGGAATGATGAACTTTTCCAGGTAGGTTTCCCATCCCAGCATATATTTACAAATTCTAGACCAACAAGTATTGTGAAAAGATTCTAGAATACCCAGTTACCCCTGGGTCTCCCAGCCGTTGAATGTGGTCGTGGGGGCCACCTGATAGATGATCCAACGGCTGAAAAACCCAGGGAATACTTTACCCTTCCTTCTTGTGTACAAAAACTACAGTAAATGCTGCACAACACCTGAACTCCATCAAGTCCATGCCAGACATAACCATCCTAACTCATCTACCACAAAATGATTATATACTAACATCATGATATACCATGCAAAGCAAATAAAAAGGCCCACAGGAAATATTGGAAGACAAACACACATTGGAGAAGTTCAATACGCATACAAGCATATATACTTTTACCATCATAATTACATAAAACCTACCTGCACTGAAATATTACAAAACTTGAGATAAGCCATTAAGCCCAGCTATCGGCATTATAGTTATATCATCATAAAGATTGGCAGTTCAACTTCCCGAACTCGTGACCAATAAAGATGTTTTTATGCATTGAACAATGTTTCTACAATAATGCACAATGACTTAATACTCTCTTCACACTAATTATTTCCTCTCGCTTTCAATCAAAATTCATCCACCAGAAATATTAGGACCGGAGTTGAGTTCTGGACATGATTTGATACATCACTCTGTGTGCGGTATATATTGTGATAGTGGTTTAGCATTTTTTTTTTATGAATGGTAGCTTAAGCCATACAATGCATTGAGACACAATTTGAACAACTGTTGTTGAAAGCGGTAAATGGAACCGTGTATATAAAAGCAAACTCAATATGCAAAATTCTTTCACAAAGTACCATGAATGCATGGGCAAACATTGATTTCAGGCTTTATTCTAAAGCTTATGCCTTATTCTACCAACCCAAATATATATTGCAGAAATTCTAATCACATGAACATCTTGAATACAAAAGGCATATACAATTAAGGCTTGTTCAACAGGCAGCAATTGCGGGCTGTATAAAGCATATATAGTACAACACTGCAACAGAATTTCTACTTCGTTCAATAAGTATTCTAACTGAAAACATATGAATCATAACCAAGCATGGACCTCTAGAATTTACATCCACAACACTTCTTAGTGATGTTAAGATTCAGAGATTAGAATGACCCAAGAATTATGATTAGCGATATGAGAACGGGCTAATTGAATTCATTTTAGTTGCTAGGTTTGCCATTTCTCTCAGTAAATTCGATTTCAAGATTACCAGACTTACAAAAATCATAAGGCGTAAAACAGTGGGAAATCAAAATAGCCCAAATTCATGCACACCTTCATCTTCATCCATTATGGAGTTGAGAACAGATAGTACAAGCCTGCAAAGTAGGTTTTATTATCAGCACAGAGATTGGGGGAGAGAGAACATCCCTTGAGGAAGCAAACAAACTAACAACGATCATATCACTTCAAAATCAACCAAGTGAGAAAATAAATAAATCCAAAGGCTCCATGCCAAAATCAAGAAAAGAAAACATTGAATATTTTGGGCCCAAGAGGAGGGAAAGCCCAGATGATCCTATCTGCTTCATAAAAAGGACGCAAAGTAGTGTGGTACATTATTTTGCTTCAAAGAGAGTCTGAAGAGTTCAACAAATTATCTTTTGTTTCTTTATTGAGTCTATTCTTAATTTTCATAGCAATTTTGAAGTTCTAACAGAACACAAAACCTTTAAAATCCCAGAAACTCTTTCTTTCCCCTCCCTAGTCTCCACAGTAGATGCAAGTAACTTGACAGTTCTAAAACAACCCATAAGGTGTCACTTTCTTGTCTACTTTTCTTCCCCCACCCCACCCCCACAACACATACACAAACACCCAAACAGTCCTAATTTCCTTCATCTTACTTATGTTTTAATTATTTGTTCTATTCATTGCTAATATCACAACAATAAAATGGACGTCTTTCAAATGTTGAATTTAAATTAAACCAGAACAAGAAAAATCAAGGTTAACTTAAACTTAACCACAACAATCCAGTTCAACGCTAAAACTCCTATTCAAATATTTGACAGTTTGCATCTAATGGTTGATGGAGTAATCATCAAACATCTCTCAAACCTCAGGGTCCCTGTACACGAATCAAAGCTATTGTTTAGGCAATTCTTGTGTGCAATGCAAAGATGTGATATATTCTATTGGAAATTACTTAAGTAGTCCTCTAACAATCCTATAACTTTATTAAAAGATTTCTACTCGGCACTGATACTGGAGCGGGAGTAAAATCTGAACTATTTCTTTGATAATCAATCATATATCACGGTAGTTTCCACCAAATTAATAAAGCATTAAGGTTATTCTTCCCCCGCATATAATAGCAGTCAGTACAACATTGTCTTTCCACCAACAGTCAATTTTGGTTTTAAAATTAATTCGATGATGCAATATCAGTTTCCAGTAGTTTACAATCGATACAACAGCTACTAACAAATAGGAATCAAGTACAACTGCACACACCTGGCACTGATAGTTTCCTGTTAGGGTTAGTCTCAATGTGTTAGCAATTTCCAAAATCAAAATGTCTTGTAATTGGTCAAGTCATGAAGGTTTGCATTTGTCTGGGTAAAATTGTACTTGATAATCAATGACAAGGGAAGAACTAAAATTTTTACTTTTCGGGGGCAGGGAGAGGGGAATTAGTACTCTGTAATTAAATTTTTAAAGGTTATAAATATATTGTAATATAACTTTAGTATATGTATTCTTAAATCTAGCATAACCTAAAAATGAGAAAAATACAACCTAAAAAAATGAGACAGACAAACAGGTATGGAAATTGACATGAGAAAAGAAAAGAGACTCTCTCTCTCTCATCCATGTAGACAATTGATATATTGTATACTTAAAAATGGAAAATTGGTATGCAGCAACTAGCAACAAGGACAACTGTGAAAATGGCTTACTTTTTTCCATCCGATTTGGACTTCCTAAAACAGGACAAAAAAAGGCAAAAATTGAAATTCCTACATATTTTGAAGTGCTCATATGTTATCTTTTTTTCTTCAAACTCACTGTTAATGACATTTGTATATAAATGAAGGACATGAGAATTTAATTGAACAAGCCTATTATAGTTAAGAGCACATCTATTGGATTTTTATTTTAAAAATTATGATATAGTTAATGGAAAAGTCAAATTTCCTTTATAGGCATGAAAGTCTTCTTACCTGCCAACTGTTTGGATATCAACTCGCTTATGCTTATTCTTATGTTTTTTAATAAGATCAATGATATTGCATCAATTAAACAGAAAGCATCCAAAGATATATAGTATGTCGATTGTAACATAAGATTAAGATTACAAGATATGAAATAGCTTCAAGTATATTGCAATATGTTATAAGACATTGATGACATAAGATTAGAACTACATCTAACTTTTTCTCTAACTGTTTTCTTTACAACATGAGTTATTACTGTTCACTTGGTTCATATCTGCAGAATTTACCGCTGATTCTAGGGGCAGGCCCAGGAAATCAACCTGGGGGACCGAGCTAGTATAAAAAACAAAATTTGAAAAAATTTATTAATCGTATTTGTGAAATATGAGGACCATAACCTAAGCCTCAGATTAAGTCAGAGTGCATGCGGCTAATTAGACCTAGAGAGGGTGAATGGGTAGATATTCTTTTGCAACTAACTTTTCGAATCACTGTTAATCCTTAATTGAAATTCAGTTTAATTAGTTTCATTTATGTCTCAACAGCAACCACAAAAACACAAAAAGCAATAAATAAAAATAAAACAGAGACAAAACTTTTTATGTGAGAAAAGACCTAGTCCAGACAGATCAAAATCCACGATGAGAAAAAGGGTACAACAAATGTTACATGGACTCTTGCAAAGTAGGTAACGTACCCATGTCCGACATATATAATTCGCACATGGGTATGGGATATGTGTCCGACACTTTTGGTTGGACTTGCAGCTAAAAAATATATCTAATAATCTTATTTTATTATATTATTACTTCAAATGTGAAATGTCAATTCTGATCACTATATTACATAAAAACATTATTTTATTCTTTTATCAAATAAAGCGAGTGTCCATGTCTCCGTCTGTTTGGAATTTGACACGTCTAACGAGTGGATACATACCCGTACCCGACACACATAACCGAGTCCATGTAATATAGGGTACAATTAAGGTACCAAATTTATCCTAGAATCACCCAATCCCTCCCTATTTAGAGTTGGGAAAGATCTCCCCAAATCATTCCAGCCCTTGTTGATCTACCGACATGACTCAATCCTCACGCAATCCGCTTCTCCATGAACTTCTAATCTCCAATGATTAGTCATGTTCATTCAACATGGTTGATGCTCTGTCCAATATTTTCAACTCAGTTCGTTGCTTTGATTCACTCAATCACTTATAATATGTAGCAATAATCTATGAAAAAACCTAGGTTAATTCTCAAAGCTTTCTTTCTCTGAAAATATTAATTTTCTCAACACTATGAATAGAGTTGAAGGCTCCTGTGACAGAGAGAGCCTAAACTGGCTATAAACCCCATAATTATAACCAAAATAGGAGTCTTACGTAAAAATGGAAAAGCAATCCTTTTGAAATTCTAATTTGAGATTGTTTTCGAAAACAAGTTTTATCGATTGAGCACCATTGCCACTGCTTCGGTTGATAGAGCTATCTATCAGAGCCTAATATTTTATGAAAACTTTTCCTGCAAAAGTTTGATAAATCAATCATTGGATCGATGCTGTTTGTTTTTAAAAAAAGGCCTGCTTTGAAAATTATTATAAGATCATTTGATAAAAAAATTCCAATTTTGGTAAATAAGATTAAAATATAATTTTGAGCCTTCTAAAGATAATACCTAAGTCATAATTGGTCTCTATGGTCTCACTTACCTAGATATCCATTTGAGGCTTGAGAGATTTGCAGCATGATCTTTGTTGATCACCATCTTCATTATCTTCTTTGACCGTAAACAAATGACTCGCGACAATTTGACACACACACTACACCCCAGTTTTTGAATAGGAATTTCCCAACACATCACTAATAATTCTAGCAGTAATATATATTTTTGCAATAGAAGACCTATTATATATTCTTAATATGAAAGAAGCTCTGAGATAATTATTCATAAACAAAAAAAGTTTCATAATCCATTAATTTTGTACAATAATACATCTAACCAATTTTGTCATAGATATGTACAGGAAAGAAAAAAAAAAAAAAAGTGGGGGTCACATTGTAAATTTGCTAAAACTCAACATCTATAACCATACCTATATATAGAGTTTTTTAAAATTTTGAGGTCTCAAGTAAGTGTTCCACCCAAAGGGAGGACCAATTCTCAAGAGGTCACAGAGTTGAGGACCAATCTAAACAAGCAAGGCCAATATTCAGTTGGTGAGTTGAGAACTGATATCAATGGGTCCAAGACCACCCAGTTTACATAAATGGAAATTTTACAGTTTCTAAGTCCAAAAAGGTTTCTAATACTTGCTTAAGTCGCATAAAACACATTCTTGCATTCTTAACATCTGTTTTTTTCCCCTTTTTGATTCATATTCTCTGGCTTTGACAGTTGCTATCTATTTGACAACTGTTAACTCCAGCAGGAGATATTTTTTTGCGGCAATATGAAAAGATTCGAGTCTGTTGCAGGATGTTTTGTATTCATACTCACAGTACCCACTTGCAACAAGTTACCACATTGCTTTCCTGCATATCCTCGCACTTACATATATATAATCTGCTGCATCTATCATTCACGCTGTTGCTACATAAGAAGCCACCTAGATTCCATCTGGTATTAAGGAGATAAGTGCCTACCTAGTGTTTAAGATTATAATTTTTGCTAGCGATATCAAGGTCTAAAGCCAATAACCATAATGCAGATGGAAGTCATGGCCAAGAAGGTGTCCAGTCAATCAAGAAAATCTCTTCCAAATGAGGGTCAATTGCATGGCTGTGGTGAGACAGTAGACAAGGCCACAAACAGGCACAACCATGCAACAATATGCTATAGAAGAATGATATAACCACCTCAAGAAGATCCGAAAATTCCATGAGATTGTCTTTAAGATGCACAGAGCATTTTCCAAAAAAGAGGGAAATAATAAAAAATAAATAGATAAATAAATAACAAAAGATAAATAATTTCCCAAACAATACGATCACCACTTATATTGTGAATCTTTATTTTACAAATAGTTTAGATAAACAAGTTAAAAATTCGGGTGAAACATTCTTGAAATTGGGCGACTGAACCACAAACAGAAAATTCCTGTAATTTATGCATGCTAGAGTTCTCAAAAGTCGCAAAACTATAACAATGTAAATCAGTTAAAATTCACACAAGGTCACTCCCCATCCTATTCAAAGCAGCAAAAGGGAAAAACATACAGATAATGAAATGACAATTGGCTTCTAGAATTCAAGAAAGGAGGAGCGAATATCTAGTTCTTCACTATTGGGATGGAAGCCAGATAAGATAGTGGAAAATGTGCCTTCAGCGAATTTTCTATGGCCAAACAGCAAAAAAAGAAAAATGAAATCTATTAGGAAAATATAAAGCACAAATTCAATATACTTCACTTATCGAGTAAATATTTTTGTTGATAAATAAAGAATGTCGATAAAATATATCTTTTTTTATGAGTAAACATGTTGATTGAATATAGAATCACGAACCTGATAATGACCATGACGAAGAGCAATAAGTAAAAGGCAAGTTTGATAATTCGATACTTCTTTTCAGCAGTAAGAAATCTGAAAACTTCAGTAACATCGATAAGATGCTGTCGCTTAAAAAATCTGAAACAGAGAAAAAAAATAACAATTACAACAGTGAAGTAACATTTCAAGTTCAATAAGCATGCACCTATGAATAAAAGCCCTCATTGAAAGCATCATCTAAACGTATGTGAAGAAAGTTGAAAATTTTACCAACATATCTTCACCTTTTTATTTACTTCTTTTTTCTTTTTGATAGATAATACTCATACAATTTTTTTAGATTATTGTATGCAAGTCTTGACACAAGCAAATCAGAAGGCCAATGATAGATTCATCATAATTGTTGTAAATGGAAACCATTTTTCAGTGACATTATTTACATTCATGTTGTCGGCATCAGAACCCAGACAGATTTATTGGCAAAACTGTAACTGTTTGTCAGTTTTGTTTTTTTGTTTTTTTGTTTTTTTTTCCTTTTCGATTTCTGCAAATTTTGGTGAAATATTATTTTTCATAACAAAATTACGCCACTCTCACTTTCATGTTCTTTGGATTATCTGATCGAAATGATGATTCAAATGATCTTCGATATTCAGTCTGGTAAAGAAATGATCAAACACTTCAAGTCAACCACTGACTTGAATGGAATTAAGTTAATAGTTTAAGCATAATTCAGTATGTCGGAGATATTTAATTATATAATCCCAAGATCTCCAAGAATGGTACCCTATCTAATCTTACATTGACAGTTTCACATAACACACAGGTTTTCCTGATTTATTGATAGGATTATTATATTGCAGGAAGCAAAATAATAAAAATAAATAAAAATATTAGGCATTTCAAGATCATTTACCTATTTTAGCAATAATTATAGCTGATGTATGATGATATTCTAATGAAAATCATTCACAAGAATCTACAGGAAACTCAAAAGACAAGTTGTATTATAAGAGTTTTCAAATCTTGTATTCACACACAGTAGCTGATATCTGATATATCTCTTGAAGTGAGTTACCATCAAGGAATCGGGACAAAATTTAAATACACAATATACACTTCCAAAAGGTCTTGGCTAAACAAATTATATCATGGTATCTTATGTATCATTTACCTGATTTTAGCAATTATTATAGCTGATGTGTAATGACATTCTAATGAAAATCATTCACAAGAATCTACAGGAAGAAACTCAAAAGACAAGTTGAATTATAAGAGTTTTCAAATCTTGTATTCACACACAGTAGCTGATATCTGATATATCTCTTGAAGTGAGTTACCATCAGGGAATCGGGACAAAATTGAAATACACTATATACACTTCCAAAAGGTCTTGGCTAAACAAATTATATCATGGTATCTTATGTATCATCATCAAGATCATCCTTACGAATAAGTAAATAACTATTAAGTTAACACTGGATATTATGGAGTTGCCATGTACTGAATTTGTAGAAATGTTCCATTCAAGAATAAAGGATTGCACACAGATCACATACACAAACAAAGGTGCTCTCTTGCAATAGAATTGTGAACAATTATCTCCATATAATCTTAACATTGTAAGCATAACCCCAGATTTATTTACTCTTACAAGAATTCCATAAATCAGTGCTGTAAACATAGGTTCAGGAAAAATAAAAATAAAATATAAAGAAGGAATGAAATTGATCATGATGAGCTATCGAGTTTGACAGAACAAAATTAAAGGGGTACTTAGATAACTCATTTTTCAAATTTTATTCTTTATTTATTTATTTATTTATGAGTTAAATAAATTATTTTTCACAAGACTGAATTAAGGCATATATGCATACCATTCCTTGAATCTAACTTAAGCCAAACCCAATGAGGCCTTTAGATAGAATTTAACAGTGCAAGGAATTTATTTCTGCCAAAAAGACACAGTGTCACGGGAATTTGGACTTCAATAGATATGAGGGCTGATAGAAAAACTGAATCACAAGCATTATAGAATAATCACCTATTACGCAAGTAAAAAAAGCACTATATGCACTCCTTGAGAGATTAACGATAGAAAAACTTACAACATCATACTATAGCAAGTGAGGGGAACAGTGATTAAGAACATGAACCAATGTCCTGTCACAAGGAATAGAGCGCAGAATGCAGCATGCAACACAAACTCAGGAACAACCACAGCATTAATGCGAGATGATGACTCATAAGGATTCATATAGTCAGCCTCCAAATCCGATAAGCATACAATCTAGCAAAAACAGTCAAGATTCTTCAAAGACAGGCAAATGAGGATAAAAGATGTAAAGTGAGTGCAATTGCAACAGCCACAGGGGGTTAGATTTCAGGGGAAATAACAAAAAGAGACTGCATGATAAGACATATAAAGCTAACAACAAAAAGAAAAAAGTTTAAGAAGAAAGTTCAAGGCATCTTGTGTCTATGGGTAATCAGAAATATGAGATCTACCAGTACGTCATCATTACAACAAAAAATGTTGGCCTCATAAAGTGGAACGTAAGCGTAATGAAGCCAACATGCCCTTCAGATTGCTTAAGGTACACAATATTCCCTTCAGATCGATTAAGCTATGAAAATATTCTTCCCTTGGTATATTTATTGGCAATAAGAAAAATGATATATATTATTTAAATTCAAAAAAAAAAAAAAGAACATGTGTCGCAAACTGATTGGATGAATAAATAGTAAAACAATTAACAAAACGATATCATATGACTAATGGGTATTCTAGTAATTTCAAACCATTAGTAATGGTGGCATCGCAGCAAAATATAGGCAAAGGGGTGATTGCAGATATTTTGAATAGTTCAGGTGGGTCTTCTGCCAAAAAGTGATGTTAACCCTTCTGCATTTTACCCTAATTATCATTCAGGGATATAATAGTTATAGCCTAAAGGGCATGGTTTTCTTGTATTTTTTGGACTCTTTGCATTTAGTAGGTCTGCCTTGAGGTGGCTATGCCTACAATCATTCCTTTTCTTTCGTTGCATAGGTGATATCTAATAAGATGTTTATTAATTAAATAAATTCATCCACTAGGTACAAGCAATCAGCCAAATTAATACATAGATCAAATTGATGTTAATTTTCAGATGTTGGCCCAGTAAAAAGAAGAAGAAGAAATGCGAGGAGCTACAAGGATTGTCATACAAGAAACACTTTACTAATTTGGATACCACTTAGGCAAGTAATTCGGAAAGCACTACAATCGCCAAGAAATGCAAGGCAGTTATTAAAATCTATTCCAAACTATAATAATTAAGGAAAAAAACTAAATCATATACATTTCAATGGAAAAAAGTATACCCACTTAAAAAAAAATCTAACTTTAGAAAGAGACCGCATATTAAAGAATCGAATAAATAGTCGGTGCAGAAACAGAATGCAATTACTTCAAACTCACTTTTGCGCTGCTTGGTTGCGAAGAAAATTTTAAGATAAGTTGTACAAATCAAATCCAAGAGTTTTTTTTTTTCGTTCTTTTGAGGAAAAAGGAAAACATAATCAAATGGACTTCTTTTTCATTTTTCTTTCATGTTTCTTCCTTAATTTCCAGTACCAGACGATATGTTTGTCAATAGGGGTTATATACATTTATATACAAATGCATATATAAAACTGATGGCAACAAATAGGTTTGGTGATTAGATTTAGAGAAAACCTGGTAGAGATTTAGTGCGCTCAATTTGAGTTTTTTCATATATGTTTGTTAATCAGTAACCAAATGAAGGGTTTATCACTAGGGTTTATGCGTATTTATATACATATGCACATATACACAATACAAATGGATAGATATATAGAACTGATTACAACAAAACGATGCATGTACAGTAATTAGGGTTTTGAAAAAACCTGGTAGAGATTTAGTGCGACGAGGGCTATGTTCATGATGAAAAAGATCACCCACAGAATTGCTTCCCACGCCATGTCATACACGGAATTTTCAAGCTATCATACAGGTACACTAAGAATCAAGATTGAAGTCTCAACAGGAGTCTGAGATTTGTAAATGAGTACAGTATCATAGAATATTTTATAGGAGTATATAGAGAGAGAGACAGTAGATACATATGGATTCAAAATGGGCTTTTACACTTTTTGCTCGTATTTCCATAAAGAAAAAACAAAATAATTTTCTTTTTCTTTTTTTGTTTTTTTTTTCTATTGAATTTATTTAGCATTTTAAAAATAAATAAAAAATAAAAACCTCAGTCCCATTATATACAACGATAATGTATCAATTATTACATCTGACATGTTAATAAATAAAAAGTTTTGCGAGACACTTACTACGGTCGAGTTATTGTTAAAAATAAATAATAAAATTTTGAGTTTTTTTTTTTTTTAAATCCTAATTTAAGGAACACTTGTTGAATTATAATTTTGCAAAAAAAATTGCATATTATCTTTTGTTGATTGTCTTGAGATTAACGGGGAATTTTTTTATGTAGATAGACTGTTTTGTGTAATTAGTAAAATAGTAATTTCTAATACAACCCCTAAAACAACATTTCTTGGTACACTTTTTTTTTAATTATTTTATTTATTGCACTTATTTGCATAAAAAAATTTATTATAAAAGAGACTTTAATTGCACATGGTTCAAAATCCTCTCTATTGAGCTCATCATTGTAATTGTCTGAGGAGCAAATCAAGTGGTTCACAATGCATATGTACTGTAGATGCAGGAAATCTCTTTCTGTACGTTAAGAAAGTAATCGACGCTTCACACAATCCCCTCTTTCGTCTATCTCTCTGTACATTTGTCCTAACACCTCTTTCAAAACTCTCAAACTTGGGCTAATCTTAAGTAGGCCTTATATTCGGGCCGTAGTGGATAGAAGTCCGCTCTGTAATGCTGAAGAGACTGGGCCTGAGAACGGTGGAATTGATCTTTGGGTCTGGTGGGTGGCTCTGGAAGTGGATCGAAAGCCCAACGATGCCCTGGGCTAAGTGAACCGGCCATAACAAGGCCCGGTTCACTTTCTGCTCCTTCGTGTACATTTTAGAAATACAAAATGGGTAACAGGATTTTCAATTTTTTAATTGGATTTTTTTTATATTATTATTATTATTAACTTGATAAGAAACTCAGACTTGAACACCAAATTTCACTATGCACTATATAGTAAAAAGACGTACAAGCCCACACGCCTGTAGATGAACCTATCTATTTAAGTGGGTAAGTAAATATTTATTCTTATCGCAACATTTGTAATTTTTCATAATTATTGCTGTTATATGTTTGAGTTTATCTACAGGTTATTTTCCTTGATTTGAGTTGGGGTTTTGAGTAGATTTCATGCGTATCTCCTTTTTCTTGGTCAGATTTTCATATATATGCGGATATTTTCTGGTTATTGGTTATATATATTCATACATATATAAATGTCCGTTAATTTCATGGGAATAGTTTATTTTTAAAAATGTTATTTCTTGTGTAAATAATGCTTGTTATTTGTTGAAAAAAGTACCTTTTTTTTTTTAATAGAAAATCTACCTTCTGTTTCCACTTGCCTGAAAATCATGTGAAACATTGTGCAAGAAGCTCGCAGGGAGGTAAGTTTCAGAACCTATATTATACATTTGAATGACTTTGAATCACATTGATTTTGGACAAGACCATGAAATAAATATAGTTTAAGCTAACATATATGTGTGTGTGTGTGTATATTTGAAGCAGGCTGCGTGTCACACACACACATGTGTATGTGTGTATATCACCACTTAGTGTGCCATTTGTAACATTGTTTGATGCTCTGTCTTCCGTCTTCATGTTACGGATTTGGAGCTATCTAGATCGTTGATTTTTTTTTTTTCTATTTTTGTTTCTTGATGGTAAACTGGGAATGAATATTTAACTGCTTTGGGGTGTTGATGCTTTGCATTTTGCAACCAGTTGACTGCAACTCCATTCACAGTATGTGTGTGTGTGTGTTTTGTTTTTGAGGGTGACTCAACCTGAGCATGTTTTGATTTCATTTATGATTACATTGAAGCATATCTGAATCTGCTTATTTATTGACTCCAGAATTTGTACTGAAGAACTAATTCAGAAGCAATGGTCCCCTCTCTCTGTTATGGCTACCCTGGTAGTCATTGTTTAAATGCAATTGAAATTTACATTTAATATGATGACATATGGCAAGAAATTTTGGACCACTGACACACTTTATTTCATTTTATGTGTTCCAACTGATAGAACTCGTGGGTTGTCAAAGTTCTCATGCTGCATTTTTCACTCTGTTACTGTAAATTGTATTATTTGGTCCTTAAACAAAGCTATAACATTTTAACTCTATACTAATCTCATCATTTGTCAGTTGCTTTACTTTTTTTTTTTTTTCTTTCCCAGCTTTTTAAGTATTTGTTATTTGGGGTTCATATATTTGCAATGTGAAAATTCTACAATGCTTTGGGTTATTTCTTCTTCTTTTCTGTCTGCCAAAAAAAGAAAAAGAAAAAGAAAAAAGAGGACCACGCTAGATTTGAGCAATATGGGGCCTTTGGACCTTAAAGATCTGTTTGGGAAATCCAATAATTAAGTTATGGATAAGGTTGTTTGTTAATGTTAGGTAATCTTTGATAAAGACAATTAAGTTGGTGCAGAAAGTAAAGAAAATTGTCTATTTTCACACTAACTAGTACTATTAGTTTTCATGTGAACTAGATAACAAAATGAGTTGAAAATTTGATTGAGTCAAGCTTTCGCAGATTTCTTAACAGTCCCTTAAACACATTTTTTTTTTTTTTTTTTGAACCCATTTGCTTAACAATTAACAATGATATTAGAGATACATGCAATCAATTAATAATTAACAAAAAAATGTGACTTGAAAGTTGAAAATGAAAGATCCTCAAGCTCAAGGAGAACACGGAATCAAAAAGGGTCACTTGGTATTGATTTTGACTTTTTCTTTTCTTTTTCTCTCACTCTCTCTCTCTCTCTCTCTCTCTCTCACACACACACACACACACACACAAGGAAAGCCTTTCCATCCCCATACACCAAAAAGGTACTTTTCCATGAATTCGGTTATATTTTTACTATATTTGAGTTAAATACACGAATTTGGCCAAATCTTTGTTAAAAATAGATGGAGCAAAGGAAATGAGGCAATTGTTGCCTCACGTGTCCATGTTTCCTCCACACAAACATCACAACACTTTAATATTATCGGGCTTCAATGTGAAGCAGCTATTGTCTTGTATCTTTCATTACCGTGTCTCTCTTGTTGACAGAAATTGACTATTCATTGGTGAAGATGCAAGATATCGAGATTTTATATTGGGAAATAATTTGTTTACACTTCAAAATGTTTTTCTCTTTTTCCTCTCAAACCCCTCAATATAGAAGTTTTTTCTATATCCTAACTTTCAATACTTTTCCTTTCAGGTCAAAAGTTGATTGGCCTCATTTTGCTATGGGTCGATTCATCCACCCAAATGGACCTAAATGGAGGCCCGGTCTTACTATTTTAGCTTCTGCACGGACTAGGCTTGACCTTTAGGCCTTAAGGTTGATGAAGGAATGGACTGACTGGGTGCCTTGGGCTAGATTTGGCCCGGCTTAGGTTTGCTAATTATTTCCACCTCTTCATCTGCCCCTTTAATTTTGCCTTAATAATTAGGGCGGGATTCACGAGTAATGATGGCAACAGCGGTTTGTGGTTGGGCGTGACGGCGTGGGGAAACGTGAACGACTGACCCTTCGTTTATGTGCTTCGGTCTTCGAATGGTCATGATTGCCTTGACTTCTGACATTTCCACGTGATAGATTTCTGCCCTATAAATCTGAAGTGACTTTAGTCCTTTTTTCCTCTCCCGACATTGTCAAGTTTTGACTTTGTTATACGTACTCACGCTTTAGTCTTCAATCTTCCCTCCGACAAGAGTTTGCAATTTTCGACTACGATCCTCTGCTCTGTGCCCTTATTTTTTTCATTCTTCGAGGTTAGTTCCATATTTCTTCTTCCTTTTTCCTTTTTCAACCTCTGTGTTTTTATATCTTTCTTTTGAAATAATGTTTTTCGACCTTGATGCTCTTCGTGTTTGTTGTAACATCCCGGGTGACGTCATCACTCGCCTTTACTTGGACGAGGAATATGTTAGTTCTGGTAGGGGTCTTGCCGAAGATGAGATATTATTCACTGCATCCCATTTATGCGTGCTTACGTTCCCTTTTCACACAATGTTCCATGCCATTCTCTCCAAATTGGGGCTTGCCACTCTGCAAGTTAACCCAAATTTTTATAGGATAGTTTCCACTATAATCCTCTTAAATCAAACTAGGGGGTGAGGATGCGGCAAGTGGCATGGGTCGGATATGGATCGCGGAAACGAGATCGGGTCGAATGATTGAAGAAGGATCCATGCCAAAGCACCCTGGAATGGGCCGAACGTGGGGGGTCCACCGAAGAAGGTCAAGCCCATTACAAGACCCAGCCCAGAAGGAAAAGAACTTTCAGCTATAAGCCCAATGTAATTGCTTAACTGCAAAAAAGGGTCATGGCCTATAAATAGACCATGACGGGTGGAAAGTAGAGCAAGAGGCTAGAGAGAAGAGAAAGAGAAGAGAGAGATGAAACGGAATATTGTATCTTCAATTGGCGCCGTCTGTGGGAAACGAGGACGAAGATCAATTCGAGCCCGATCAGTACCATATTAGTTTAATCGAGTTTGTGAATATGCAGTGTGACTTCTGGAAGTTGAATCCAGATCAGTGAGATTGTAGTTTGCTCCGAGAGAATTCTTGCTTATTGTGGATTCTAAGGCATTTGCTTTGGAAGGACGTAATCGTGATTTGCTCAGTTACAGTCAGATCCGACGAGTTTAAAGCGAGAAAAGTTCAGATCTAGCAAACAGCGATCACGGTTCGGTAAAGTTAAGCCCAGATCTAGCGGAGTTTGCATCGGTAACGCTTAGATCTGTTTCGAAGTTTATAATTCATGCCTTTGCTTCGATCTAGAATCATGATAGGGGGTGACAACTCTAATACGGTTGAAAACGTCCAGCAAGTGAAACTTGATGAGTTGATGAACATGATCGAAGCTCTCCAGAGAGAAAATGCAGATCTAAGGAATGAAAT